TTGGAGCCAGTCGTTGAGCGAATCGCGACATGTTTCAGTAACAGAACCCTGTTTCTGGGCGGTAATTCGCAGATTTTGGCGGATTGGAAGCACCTACTTGCATTCGGAAGGCGGCCATTGAATAGAGCTCGGCGAGTTCTACTTGTAGCCAGCGGCGATTTTGGTGGAACCAGTCGTTGAGCGAATCCCGACAGGTTTTAGTTGTGTTTTCATTGTTTTGTGTTATTTTTTAGCAGTAAAAGGGGTTTTCCGGACGGAAGGAAGTTACTTGGGGAGGAAAAAAATATTGCAGTGGATAGAGCTCGTCGAGATCTACTTGGAGCCAGGAAGTCCTTAGTTGGAGCCAGCTTCACGGCGAATATTTTCAAGAAATACTCGAATCCTGACCTAAGATATCCTACGTGTAAACGGTATAGCTAAAACTAAAGCACGATAAAAAAAATAGACGATAAATATGAGAATTCAAATGGAATTGCCATTAAACTAAGAACAAAATTTATTGGAAGTGAACAGTGATGTAAATGTTCCAAGTAAAAAATAATGAAGTAGCTATTAGTAGTATGACAAATATAATTGGAACATATTCATATAGTATTATGCATACTACTTTTATATTCGCTAAAATAATACAAACAATAAGTAAAAGTAAAGAAATAATACATGAAGCTGCAATCCGTGAACATGGGTAGGAAAATATATTGCAAGAGATTCATGCGATTGTTGCTAAATCAATGAGACAGAGTAAAGTGGAGTCACTCGTACCTATGAAATTACGATTATTGTACATTCATTTGGATTCTGTGCATATTATTAAGAAATATGAAGAAATCTCAATTAGTGGATATTTTGTTAATACATGTGAGCATATAAATATAGGCTATTTTATCAGTTTTACAGAATTTATACAGCATAGAAACAGTTTATGATAGTGCATTTTAATCAATATCTTATCATTTTCAAGAACGACAATTTAGTCTGAATGCATATTTAATTAATTTGTGAAAAAAAATAATTTGTGTTAGTCGTATTGAGTTGAGGTTGAGTGACATCTATCGATTTTCATGTGTTGTCGGTTACTCATAATTGGCTCATTTCGACTATTACACGTCAATAACATTTTTTTAATGTTATGTTGTTAAATATTGATTGTTGTTTTTTCTTATTTAAGTCCACGTTATTTTTCATGAAAAGGAAACAGTTTTTGATAATCTTTCAATGAATAACGTCTGCGTACACATTTTGTAATTGGACAAAATGGGGTTTAAAAGAAGTCAGGTAACTTTACAGAATCTTAGATATTTTGTAAAACAAAAAAAAAATACATTGAAATTTGATCGAGTGATAAATTATCAAGTAGATAATCCTATGGTTCCAGCACACATCACGATGAAGTAAGACAACAAAACAATAAATTTGAAAATTCATTTAAGGATATTTCAGACTTAATATGGAAAAACTACTAATGTGTCGTCAATTGTTAATGATCAAATCATAGCATCTAACACGTTGAATTTGTCTTTACTATGCACAGAAAAAAATGAAATCATTACTGCCTATTTTTTGTTTCAGACATTTTAATTTTAAGTGTTAGTTAACATTTGTCACAATCGTTCGATAAAGCGATGAAGACCTTTTTGAATCATTTGACTGTGTCATGGTTATTCAAATAGATTCGCAGCCTTCCTGTTTTTCTTTCATCAGTTGCGAGAAGAAAAGTGTAATATAATAAATCGCAAAAACATTTATGATTGAATGGATATTTATACTCGAGGATAATTCATCAAACTTCGATCGAGACCTTTATTTTAAAAAGGTTTTTACTAATTAGTCAAAGAGGAGTTCGGATAGAGATATTTATTCTAGACGCTTTTATTCTCTTACGGACAAAACTTTCTTTTCAAATGAAACTATTACTTTTTTTTATAACAGATAAAAATTCTTTTCAAGAAAAAAAAACTTCATAGAAACGC